CGCACCCAAGCTTTTAGTGTCTTTATACTTTCAAGAAAGAGAAAAAAGGACATGAGATTATTTTGCTTTTCAAAACCAAATACTTCTAAATGAACACATTGACTTTATTGAAAGCTATTTCTATTTTTCACAATGTGGGCTGCCCAGAAAGGCTGAGAACACATCGCTTTTTTTTTTTTTGGTACCAGGGATTGAACTTTGGTCCTTGCGCTTGCAAGGCAGGCGGCAGAACCACTGAGCTAAATCCCCAGGCCACATTACTTTTTTAACTAGCAAAGAGAGACTTTTTTGAAATATCTTCTTAATACCTGTTTCACCTTTTACATGAACCAATACATTAATCTAAGAGTTACAATAGAATTACCTATATCCTTTGCTCCATAATAACAGTGCCCATTTTTCTAAGCTTGTGAGGAGATGGCCCTTAAAACATTTGACTACATCATTCCTGAAAAGAAATCCACAGCTCAAACACCAGTCATACCTGTCAATGAGCTGCAGCCCTGAGCGATCAAATCCAGTTGCTTGGAAGCAGAGACAAAACATTTTATGAAGAGAAGTGAGGAACAAATATAAGTACACATTTTTTTTCCTTCTTCTTTTCTCAATTCTTTTCCTAACATTTTGTTCTGTCTGTCCATACAAGAATTCAAAAACATTTACATGGTATTGTTTTTTAAAATTCTACCACATATTTTTAATTTATGTTTCTGTTCCTGCTACAGAATAGATTTGTCTGTTCTTTACTGTGGCAAAAGATCAGATTTTTAAAATGTTTCAGAGTCAAATGGTACTCTTATAAAATATTTTGATTTTGAGGTAAATTTGTGGGAAAAAGATAAAGTCATTGACTCAGAAAACAATTTAGCCAGGTGTGGCGGTACACACCTATAATCCCAGCACTCGGAGGCTAAGGCAACAGGATCACAAGTTTGAGACCAGCATGGGCCACTCAGTGAAACCCTGTTTCAAATTTAAAATTAAAAAAAACATTTAGTTTATTTTTTATAAATTTTATCCCATTCCTCCCTCAAGCCCCCTCTGCTCCGTATGTACAAAAGCTTTTTTCCAATCTATTTTCACTTTTTTTCTTGTCCCTTCCTTACTTCCTCCCTCCCTCCCTCGTTCCCCTTCTTATTTGAATACTTTATCCCCATTTCCCAACATCCATTATACATTTCAGTCCTTATTTCCACTTTCGGTTTCTCACACCAGAGAAACAATGTAGTATTTAAAAAAGTGTATCAGATTTATTTTACTTAGGAGTATGGTCTCAAGATCCATCCATTTAGCTATAAATGTCTGAAGCTCATCCTTCTTTATGGCAGGCCAGTACTCCCTTGCATAAAAAGCCCCACATCTTCTTTATTGACTTGTAAGTTGATGGGCATGTGGGCTGTTTTTAAGATTTACCTATTACACACTGTGCTGCTATAAACATAGATGCACATAACTTTAAAATTTCAATATCCAGTTCTTCATTTATAGCAAGTATACACAGACCTGAATTTTTATATATACCTTGTGTTTTCTAATCCTGCTACATTCAAGTACAAGTTCTAGGGGCTCCTAGAGATTTCTTAGTATTTTCTCTGTAGATGATCATTTCATCTACATATAAAGATTTTGCTTCTGCCATGCCAATCCTATCCTAGTTGTGTCATTTTATTGCCAGACTATTTTGGTTTAGACCTATGTTTCAAAGTCTAATGGACAGATGAAGAGTAGACATATATGCTCTTGTTCCCCACTTAAGGGAGAAAGCATTGTATCGTCTCCATTCATAGAAGGAGTTTTTGTTGGAAGTATGGAGTACATGTCTTTGATCTGTTGAGAAGGTTCTGTTCTACTTCTAGTCTCCTGATAGCTTTTACCATGAACAGCTGTAGAATTTAGTCCAATACTCTTTATCCAACTAGTGACAGGATCATATGGCTTTCTCCTTTCCTCTGTTAAAATGATGACTTTTGGGGGTGGATCTTCCAATGCTGAACCAACACAACACTGCCATCCCTATAATAAAACCACTTTGTACATACTGCCAGTTCTGACTTCTAAGAGTTTGGTTTGTTAAACAAATTTCTATTTATGTTCATACTTTTTTCTTCTATTATCTTTATCCAGTTTTAGGATTAGCACAATGTTGAGTTCCTAAAATGAGGGGAGAAGCGTTCCTTTTTTCTGCTTTGATTGTTTGATATAATTTATCAGTTAAAATGTTTATGAGCCTGCTGTTGTCATACAGGTAGGTTTTCAAGCTAGGAATATACTTTCTTTAATAGGTGCTATTCAAATTTTATATTTCCTCCAGAGTTGTTTTCATTAATTTGTCTTCTAGGTTACTTCTTAGAAGTTGTCAAATTTATTTCAAAAAAGATTTTTGTAATATGCTTTCTATATCCTTTTAAATTCTGTAAAATCTGTGGTAATGTCTCCTAGATCCTAATATTGTAATTTAAAAAATGTATAACTGATATTGTGTAACAGGAAGAAAAGGTTTAAAAGAGCAGGGGAATTGGGAGGGGTAGGGGAAGGGAAAAAAGGGAAAGGAAAACATATGAGAAGAGGAAAAAATGGATACAAGGTCTTTGCAAATAGGGAAGGGTGGAGGGGGTGAAGGGAGGGCAAGGGAAGGGGAAAAAAAATAAGCACCAAGAGACTCATGTAATGGTACAAGATCCCAATGATGAATGTAACTGTATTTTATACCTAAAATGTACCAATAAATGGGGGAAAAAAACATAGATGTGCATATATCACTGTGGTGTGGTGCTTTTAATTCTTTCAGGAAGATACCAAGGAGAGGTACAGCTGGGACAAATGGAACCTCTACTTTTAGTTTTTTGAGAAATCTCCACATTGATTTCCATAGTGGTTGCACGAGTCTACACTCCTGCCAGCAGTGGAGAAGGGTCCTTTTTCCCCCACATTTCTGCCAGCATTTGTTATGGATTGATTTTTTGATAGTAGCCATTTCAAGATAAAAATTTTATTTTATTATTATTATTTTTTTGGTACTGGGGATCAAACTTGGGACCTTGTGCTTGCGAGGCAGGTGGCAGAAACACTGAGCTAAATCTCCGGCCCCACAAGATAAAAATTTTAAAAAGGATTGGGAATGTAGCTCACTGGGAAGGCCCTGGGCTTCATCCCTAGTACTGCAAAATAAATGAAACAACTTCACACTGGGACAAAACATTTCCAGGAAAGGAAAAAAGAATTAATTCCTTCTCTGGGAAGATTCCAGAGACTGTTCCCTTTTAAATGTGTCAGTTATTTGCTATTTCTTATTATTTTATTTTTTCCCTGAATGCTCTTGAAACGATTATTCACTAACAAGGTAATTATTCTGGAGCCTTCATGGTGACAACATGTGCAAAGTGTATCCATCCACTTGTGATATTTGATCACTGTGAGATTTGCTAAGCACCCATGTAGACCTGTTCATTAAATCTATAGTTGGCAGGGTGACTATAGCTGATTATCATGGCTCACACCATGGAGAAATGAGAGGGGACTACCAGACCTCATGCCCTCAAGTTGATTAGATCAAATTTGTTAACTCGGCCAGGGATACAGCTCAGTGGCATGTCCCTGCCTGGCAAGCACAAAGTCCTGAGTTTGATCCCCGGTTCAGACAAAAAAACAAAAACAAAAATTTGTTAACTCTGGAGTTCTATTTAGAACCATATAGCAGAAAAAGGCTTAATAAAAACTCAAGGCTCATATTTGCCAAACATCATATACAGATCTCTTTCAGGGATATGAGTATGGGTCATCTCTGGTGATCTTTTAAGGAAATTTTCATGAATAAGAGTTATTAGTGTTTTTTTTTCTTT